CGTTGTGTTGTGGTGGGATGGACCAGACAAAGGGTTACTAAATACTGCTGTTCCAAACTACCTGGGGCAGTCGTAGTCAGTTACAGCTGTCCCTGTGAGAACTAGTGCTGTCTCCAGGGCTGTGTTAGCACTGCTCTGTGTTTTGGGTTTGCTGTCATTTGGTTAGAGGGTCGGTTGGTTGATTGGTTGATCTCTTGTTGTTGTTTTGTTGTTGGTTGGTTGGTTCTGTTGTTGTTGTCTGGTTGCTTTGTTGGTTGGTTGGTTGGTTAATTGGATGGATGGATGGATGGATGGATGGATGGATGGATGGATGGATGGATGGATCAATGGGTGGATGGATGGGTGGATGGATGGATGGATGGATCAATGGGTGGATGGATGGGTGGATGGATGGATGGATGGATGGATGGATGGATGGATGGGTGGGTGGGTGGAGTAAGGAGATAAACACCTCCCTTCCTGCCTTGTTCATCCACCAGCTATTTCTCATTCACCCTGACATTTTGGTCAGAGCACACTTCCTTTCACTCCCCTCATTGGTAAATATGTCTGGGGTTTTAAGTAAGCCAGTCAATCAGTCACCCACTCAGAGAGGTGAGTTATAAGGAGAAAGGTTTTCCTTTTGGAAAGCTGTGGGTTCAGGCTGTTGTGTCCCAACACCGTGATGAAGGTCAGTTCAGCTCTTTGCCCGTCCTCTCTCCCTGCTTTCCAGGGACAGCCCCATTTATTCTGATATCTCTCGTCTCTCTCCTCCTCAAAAACCCTGGCGATGGGAGAGGGGATAGTGTCCTCCCTTGACTGTTTCTTTTTAATTTTATTTTGAACAAGACAGACTTGGGTGTGGATGTTGTAATCATTCAGTTTTCCGGCACTCAAATGTGATCACAGTTTAAACGTAGACTAGTGAGAATGGATGGGTCTGCTCTATGCCTTTCAGACAGCTTTTCGGGAACTCTGATTCTCACACCCAACCTTTTAATGAAGCCTGAGATTATGCCCTTCATTTAAAAAAAAGTGATTCCTGTGCTTTGACAAGCGTGGGGCAGGTCAGGTCGAGAGCCTCCTCCAAAGAATGAAAGTGTTTTACCAAAACTTTACCGAAACACGTACACCCCCCATAAGCCCACTGGATTGCTTTATTTTGTGCGTAGCATTCAGTAGAGAGGCTCTGTCCTCCTTTGTGGAAACGGGGTGAGTGCGTTAGGAGTGAAAGTAGTGGGAAGTGACATGCAAAGCTACTCCCAGGTGGCTCAATCAAGTGGAAACTGTACAGCTCCTGGTTAGTAGGGCTGGCAGGTGTAGTAGACGCTGTTTGCACTGCCAGTCACCTCCTTTAGGACCGTGACACTTGCTCCTCAGCTACGGGGGTCCTCAGATGACCCTCTCTGGGACTCTCCCTGGGCTGAAGAGAGCTACTTTGCCCAAGTCAAGCACCACGCCCTCCAGCCCGCGACCTTGACTGGCAGGCAGGCACGGGGTACAGGCTGCCTCCCTCATTTGGGACAGTGCTACAGGGCTGTTGCAGGTCCAGAGTCCCTGTAGGATCCAAGGATCAGCCGAGAGTGCCACCGCTGTGACTGCCCCCCTGGTCAGCCTTTTCCTCTGTCCACCTGCTTCTTCCAGTGACCCTCGCAGGTGCCGCTCCCCAGAGCTCTGCTACACCCGCTGCACGGTGCCAGTATCCCAGGGAGCCAACCAGGGGCAGATAGAATAATTTGAGCCTAGATGCCCTGGTTGACTACCGCTGAGGTGAGCACACTGTACAGTAAGAATTACCAAAAAGCACACGGGTAATTGAGTGTGACAGGAAAAACATGTGAGCACAATCCTGTCTGCGGACGCAAGAGAGACAGTAAATATCAGCCAGGTGATTGACAGGCAGCATTTTTTTTTTTTTTTCCTTTTGAGACAGGGTCTCGCTGTGCAGTTCAGTGGCCTTGAGCTCACTTTGTAGCCCAGGCTGGTCTTGAACTCGCAGTGATCCTCCTGCCTCAGCCTCCCAAGTGCTGGGATTACAGGCAGAGGCTGGGATTATAGGCGTGCACCACCACGCCCGGCTGACAGGCAGCATTCACATCCAAACTGCAGTTGAAATCTCAGTTTTATATCAGTGTCTTTAACTTAAGGGAGGAAAGGCTGCCCCATGTCTCTGATATGATAGAAAAGCCACAGAAGCTCAAGTCAGCGCCCAAATAAATTCTGCCCCACAGCCTAGAGGAGATGGGTGTGAACTGTGTTGGACAGGGGTGGTGGCTTCTCCTGCAGATAAGATGACAAATGTCATGCCTACAAGGCCCTGACTTGTGTGCAAGGCGCAGCTGTATCACAGAAATTACTTCACTCGATATTTATATTTTATTTCACATGAATTGGTCAACTCACAATATTGTTAAGATCTGAATTCCTTCAATAAGGGGCTCTAGTGCATTTCCCTGTCTCTTCCACAGTAATACTGTGCTTTGTGCAGATTCTTTCAATTACAAGCCTTCCCCGAGGGCTGGGAGTGTCGTGCAAGTATAAAGCGCTTGTGTAGCATGTGGAAGGCACAGCACCAGGAGAGAAAGAAGGGAGGGAGGAGGGAGGGAGGGACGAAGGACGAAAAGAGGGAGGGACGGAGGGAAAGAAAAAAGAAACAAAACCCAAAGATTTATTGAGCACTTAGTACTATTAGGGGTGCAGTGATTAAGTTAGGACCCCTTCATCTCAAAGCTCCCGCGGTCCAACAGAAGACAACGAAGGGCACCTGTCACCGCGTGCCCTGGTGCCCGGTAGCGCATGCGCAGGCCCCGCGGGAGCTGGGGAAGGAAAAGCTATTCCGCAGAGAAAGCAAAGGTGACAGCAGAGAACTGAACCCAGGCTGAGCCTTGAAGGACGAGCAAGAATTCTGCAGGGCACAGGGAGCGGGAGGACATTCCAAGCGGATGAAACAGCTGGGCACAGTGGTGAGGGGCAGACCACGGGGACCTGCGCGGGCCTCCCAGGGGCACCTGAGAGGTGGACCATGGGAGACGACCCAGGAAGGGCCGGCGGGGGAGATGGGCAGGCCTGGGGACCTCCCGAGCAGAGAGCGGATCTGTCCGTCTGTCCCGGGGATTAGCAGCCAGGGAGGGGCGGTGGGCAGGCGTAGGGAAGCGGGGAGGTGAGCAGCAAGGACTCAGTGAGCGCAGGGCCACCTCGGTCATCTACAGGACAGGGGGAGGACGTGAATGAAGGCTCCTGGAGGGGGCGGGGCATGGGAGGAAAGTAGCACACTCAAGACTGACCGCCAGGTAGGAGCTAGGAGGAACCCCAACCAGAAAGGGACACAGGCGACCGTGTATTCCATGGCTGTTTACAGAGTCACATTCACCTGGAGTCTGATCGCTAGAACAACTCCGCACGACCTGGGAAGACAGAATTGCGGTCTCAGAATAGATGGAAAAGCCATTAACCTAGACAACATAAAGTGACAATAGTAACTGCTGGGGGTGGACAACAGTGGAGGAGGAATGGGCTCAAAATCAATAGACCCGCTGGGCGTCCTGGCACACACCTGTAATCCCAGCAGCCAGGAGGCTGAGGCAGGAGGATTGCTGTGAGTTCCAGGCCAGCCTGGGCTACATAGTTCAAGGCCAGGCTGAACTACATAGCAAGACCCTGCCTCAAAAAGAAAAAAGCCTGATAGACCAAATATAGCAAGAAAATCACACTTTTTGGTGATGAAAGAATGATTGCAAAAAAAAAAAAAAAAAAAACAGCTAATTAAAAGAAAAGTTGAAAGCAGTGGCCCTAGGTAGCAGGTTTCAGAACCTTTTGATTTTCATTAGAAACCTTTTATACTGTTTGATTTATTTCTACCAAGCACCTTGGGGCAAAAAATGTTAAAACTCTTAAGTGCATCTGCCCCAGTGATATGTCTCATTTTGATGGAGATACCCTAAGTAAACATCTGGAAAAGAACAGCTGTGATGAAGCAGGCCTTGCCTCCCTGTCGGGGGATTCCCTGGGTTCTGAGTCACTTTCCTATTAAGAATGAGCTGGTTCACTGTGGTTATTACAAGTCAAGAGAAGCACATTTCGAAGGACTCTCACCTCTGGACTGAGTACAAAAAAATCCACGCAGCAAATAGGAAATGAGGTTTGCATATTAAATCAGAACTTTGAAAATGTTTCCATCTGAGCCAGTGTGAAATCGGTCTCTGTCTGACCCAGTAAACACACACCCACAGAATTAAAGCAGAACTTTTTAAAAGTAATACTTAGCTCTTATTGTGTTTGCTATGGCCGAAAAATGTCTGCTTCCTTCTATGTAAATTTGTGATGATATTGGTCAGCTTGAATGATCTTAACTGTAGGTCACTGTATTATGGCTACTGTATTGTGACCTATAGTTTGCAAAATGCTGCTCTGAATTAATCAGCCTCTTTTTCCTAGATCAGATGAAGGGCTGAGAAACTGAGGCTTATTTTTCCTATCAGCTAAACCATCTTAGTGGAACTATGTATTATTGACGTGCTCAAAAAATGTGCTCTGCAACTTTGACTTCTCTCATCGCCGCTGATTGTTATGTCTCCTTTTCCCCCCAGTTCTCTCCTTTCTTAATATTTACCCTTTTTTAAAACTTCTGGTTCTGTGGGGCACATGTTAGGCATCACTAAATTCATTTCTGCTTTAATTTAGCTCTATACCAGTTATGCACGTAAGTCATGCCCTTACCCGGTCTTGGTTTTTACCCACATACCCATCTGTGTGAATTCACCGTTAGAAGGACTGGTCTCAGCCAGCCCTTTGCCTTCTTTATTGAACTGTCCAACTCAGCCATCCCTGAAACACTGGAATCTTGCAGTTTGTTTCCAAATGCAGCAAATTCTACATGAAAAGATGCGCCGCTAGAGGCAGCCCTTTTGCTGTCCACACAGTTTAGCAAAAGCCATGCCGAGCACAGCATGATTGTGAAACTTGTGGCACTGCATAGAAACTTCATGGACTGATTCATGTGTTTGGGTTTTTATTAAATAAAGAACTACAAGACGCTGTTGAGGAGGTACTGCCAAGCTTGAAGAAAGACGGAGTGTCCGTCTATTATGTCAGCACGACATCCAACACCGAGGGCGTCGACTCGTTCCTGGACAAAGTGGATGAAATGTCGGGGGAACCCGTCCCAGAGTCCTGGAGGTCTGAAGTCACTTTTTCTACTCCTGCCTTGTACATCTACACTTCTGGAACCACAGGTAAAAACTAAAGACAGGATTTGCAAAGAAATAGAGCTAGCTATCCTGAAGGAGTTAAGTATTGGCTTAGGTTTTTAAACATTCCCTTTCTTTGGCAAAACTTATCCGATATCTAATACTTCCGGGGATTTAGCTCTTTGCCCGTGGGAACTGATCTGATTGCATTGCATATGACATTATGTGGGTTTCTCCCAGCCAGAAAGACTTCCCCACAATTCGTGTAGAACAGATAAAAGAGTTAACCAAGAAGTGCAGCCGAGTGCCGTAGTGTACACCTGTGACCCCAGCAGCTCGGGAGGCTGAGGCAGGAGGACTGCAAGTTCAAGGCCAGCCCGGGCAACTTAGACTTGGGGAGACCTTGCCTCAAAATAAAAAGTAAAAGGCTAAAGATATAGTTTAGTAGTATTCTTTTTTTTTTTTTTTTGGTACTGGGAGTCAAACTTAGGACCTTGCACTTACCAGGCAGGTGCCTGCGCCACTGAGCTACATCCCTAGCCCTAGTTTAGTAGTAGACCACGTGCCTAGCACAGATTCAATCCCCAATTTCACCCAAAAAAAAAAACCGCTACAAAAATAAGGCAGTAGATGAGAGTTGGCTCAGAATGAATCTGTTGCACTTTGATTATATCATACCCAGAATCCACTTACAACTATCATCAGTTATACATGGAGCCCCAGAGGACGCTCAGGGATGATATTTGTATAGATGTTTTCCCATGCAGCAGTGACTCGAACTGCTTGGTGCGCCAGTAAGGTACAGATTTCATTTAATCTCGGGTGACTCCAGAGGGCTGCCGTTATTTCACGCGCCGCCAAGGAAGAGCCTTGCCGGTCGCCAGGGTCGTTTGCACACCACTGTGTGGTGACGGCAAGGGCGGCGTGCGGGAGCCGTGCTCCTAGGACAGCGAGGGCGAGCCTCGGAGAGACGAGCGCCCAAACTGCAACCCCGAACCCGCTTACGTATCACAAAGAGCAACACTGCAAGGAAACCAGAATGCCGAGGTTTTAGTTTAGAAGAAACAGCCCGTACATTAACGTCTTTTGTCTTGAAGAAAAACAAATAGCCCGCGCGCCATAGGTTCATCGCCGCTGTCCTAGGAGCTGCAGGGCATTTGTGCGTGTGGTTTTCCCGCCGCCTCTGGGACGGGTGCCGTTGTTCCGCCTGCTCCCAGCTTCAGAAGCCGGCAGAGGGGTTAAGAGCGCCCTACTGAGAAGCAGAAGGGTTCCCCCTGCGTGGTGGCAGCACAGCCGCGCAGTCCGCGGCGCTGCGGGCCACGCCTCCTGGTTACCTCAGGGGTTCACAAGGCTAACTGAGAGCTTCACCCTCCGCGCTCTCTCGGCCAGCAAAACGCTGCCACATGTGACAGTGTGGAGCCCAGAACGTGCCGAAGCACAGGGCGGGAAGCCGTCCCCAGCGTGCTGGCTGTTGTGATTAATACCGGGAAAGTGAAGATTATTAGGCGAGTCTTTTATCTCCTCTGATTAAAATGTTAACGTAATTTAAGCAAGCAGTGTGTGCATGCCCTGTCCTTATGAGGTAATCAGACGTTATAGACAAGGCTGGGGGCTCCTCTGAGCCTTTTATCTCAACACCAGCAACAGGAGCTCTTTCCTTGGCTACTGCGGGCACCTGCACCCATCAGACTACAGAGCGACTGAGTTCAGCGTGAACGCCGGCCTCCCCTCACACGCTGCCTTCACCGAGCATTTCCATTCAGTTAACGAGGACAGGAGCAGGGACTGACGTGGTAAAGCTGGTGCCTGAAACCATCATGCCTACCATTGTTTCATTGGTTGAAATGTGTGCACCGTTAGCCAGAGGTGGTGGCGCTCAACTCACACTCTGGGAGGCTGAGGCAGGAGAATCAGAAATTAAAGCCCAGTCTGAGGTATCTAGCGGCTTAGCAAGACCCTATCCCAAAATAGAAAATAAGACAGGCTGAGGATGGAGCTCCGTGCAAAGCTCCCTTGAGCTCCATCCCAGTACCACAAAACAGCAGTTACGCCTTGCCCTGCCAACAGAAACGCCAAAGGCAGGAGTGACCAGCTGCTTCCACCGCGTATGCATGCTACCTTAATATATGGGGCTTTTATCTTCATTTTTTCATAGAATAGTTAAGCTAAATTTTAAGCTTCATCTAGGAAGTAATTTTTTCAGGAAATAATGGAGATGAAATGAGGCTTTGGTTCATGATGAGGAAGTTTTGGCCCCCCCATACCGAACGGGGAGCTGCAGAACCTCACAGTCCTTGTTTTGGCAAGAAAATGACATTCCCAGCTCAGAGGAGAAGAGGTCACTGCCTGATGGAGTCCCATGACTCTAATTTACAGTATATTTGGTTGGAAAACTGGAATTCATGTTTTTTTAGCCATAAGTTTGTCTTGTAAGAACTAATCCGTTCGTTTAAGCAATGAGAAAACAAAAATATTTTTCCTGTTCTTCAAAGGAAATCAGTAGCACAAAACCATGTACAAGCTCCCAAATTTTCTGATGTATCCATTAATATAAAAATCTAAAGTTAGAAAAGTCCTGGAAGGGGCTGGGGATATAGCTCAGTGGCATAAGCGCCTGCCTGGCAAGCACAAGTTCCTGAGTTTGATTCCTAGTACTGCAAAAAAGAAAAAAGAAAAAGAAAAGTCCTGGAAGTGCTTCAAAACAACAGAGGTATTTCTTTTTAAAAAAAAGAAATTTGACTTTCACTAGTCAAGGGATTCTTTTTCCAAAGTGAATGCAGTTGGTTTATTGATGCTTTCTTCCGTGTCATAATGTTAGTACTAGAGCTGGCCATGCGGCAGTCACCTGTCCAAATGACAAAGGCCCGAGTCTCCTGCTCGGCAGTCTCACCCCAGTGAGCTCAGCTCACAGATGTGTCGCGTGTAGCATGACCTTCAGAGCCAAACTCTTACGAGTCAGTGTGCATACTTGCATGTATTTATAGAAGGAAACCCTAGAATAGTACACAAGAAATTAGTAAAAGAGGTTATGAAGGAAGGTGATTGGACAGATGAGGTATTTATTCCCTAAAATACTTTTTTGTTGTTTTTTGTTTTTTTTTTTTCCGGTACCAGGAATCGAACTCACGATCTCATGCTTGCCAAGCAGGCGCTATGTCGCTGAGCTAAATCCCCAGGCCCCTCCCTGAGATACTTAATCTCTCTCCACTTTAACCTTCTCATCTGTGGACTGGAGGATGTAATTCTACTTATCTCTTAAATTTGATAAGAAATTAAATGAAATTTTGAAAATGTCTTGCCAGGTGAAGCTCGATATTCGTTCTCTTCTTTCCCTCCTGCTGCAGTAGCAATCAGTAGCTACAAGACCTGCCTGACTCGAGTAAGCCAGCCGTGGGCTAAAGGCCAGAGGCGGCCCTGATGTGTGTTTACAAGTAAAGTTCATTGGAACACAGCCACGCGTACTCTGTCCTGTGTGCGCGAGGCTGCTTTCGGACACGATGACAGAGCTGAGTCCCTGCCACGTGACCACAGGACCCCACGAAGCCTAAAAGGTTTACTCTCTGGTCCTTTGCAGGAGAAATGCCCGGGTCCCGGGTCTACGTGCTCGTGGCCCACTCCGACCAGCTCCCTAGCTGCAGGAGAATCAATCTTCCCAAGCCAGACCTGTCTCCCAGGCTGTGAACGGCCAAGTGTGGCTCACCCGTGCCTTCTCTTGCATTTTTCCACAGGCCTCCCAAAGGCTGCAATGATCAATCATTACCGCATCTGGTATGGAACGGGCCTCAGCATGGTCAGCGGGTTCCGGAGCGACGACGTCGTCTACACCACGCTGCCCCTGTACCACAGCGCGGCGCTCATGGTCGGCTTGCACGGCTGCATCGTGTCCGGTAAGCTCGCTCGCTGGCTGCCCGCTGGAGACGGTGCTGGCTTCTGCGCTGGTACCAAGGCGGCTGGGCTCCAACACGCAGGCAAGCCGAGCCTCTGAAATAAACGATTTTTTCATGCCGCTTTTTAAATAATAGGATGTGATCATTTTTCAGGATCTCTAGGAAGAAACTCCTTTAACATACTTTATGCCTTGACCCAGGTTAAGACAGTGGGTTCTAAGTTGCCGTGAATAATTCCCTGTATCATTTCCAGCTTCAGAAATTCACAGTCTGGTCTCAATCAACATCTGGCGTAAACTCCGCCCCATCAGCCTCGGACGTAAACCTCACCTGGGGGCCACATCCTTCATCCTTCCCCGCCCCGCAGCCCCCCTACTCTCGTCAGGGTACCGGGCCGCCCTTGCTTTCCCTCCTCAAACTGTCCACTGGGGAGTCTCCATCCCGTCTCCTTCTGGGGATTTGCTGTTTTTGTTCAGAAGGCTCAGACCCACCGCCACCTCTCCCAGGAAGTTCCCTCTAACACCTCAAATAAGAAAAAAAAAAACCTTAACTTGTTCTCCCATATGACATTTCATTTTAAATAAACATTGAAAAGAGGTACACATGAAATGTTATATAACAATGTGCACACAGGTGCACACACCCATACATGTTTTAGAAGTGTTGTTTTTTTGTTGTTGTTGTTTTCTGAAACAGCATCTGCTCTCCTTCGGCGAGTATGTACGGTGCTGCGGTCACTCTGTTCCTGGTGGCTCGGCACTCGCCCGGGCCCGGCTGTTCTTTGCTGTCGTATGTGTGTTGTGGACCGAATGTGTCTACCCTGAAAAGATTCCTCCGTTGGAACCCTAAACGCCACTGCAGGGACAGAGGCCAGACCTTCCTCGAGGGTCTGGATTTGCTGGTGCTCTGACTTCAACCTTCAGAGCCGCCCAGCTGTGAGAAACAAACCTTCTGTGTTTAGCCCCCGGCCGTTGCTCATTGCTGCAGTCACTTGATAGCCCCAACTCTGCTCCCTTCCCCGCCCAGGGACTGGTCAGCTCCAAAGTACCCAGCTCATCACCAGCAAAGAGCAGCCAGGCCTGGTCAAGTGCCGAGCCGCCAGCAACAGAGTGACCCCAGCACCGTACATACTCAACTAAGGAGAGCAGATGTTATTGAAGAAAAAAAACCAACACTTCTAAAACATTGGTTTTCGGTATACTTTGGAGGAAAAATAAACCAGTAACTTGAAAAACTACTAGTGGGAGTTTTAAAATTCACATTTACTTGAATGCCTACAATTACATTGAATGTGAAACCGGGCGTGGTGGCGCACACCTGTAATCCCAGCACTTGGGAGGCTGAGGCAGGAGGATCATTGTGAGTTTGAGACCAGCCTGAGTTACAAAGTGAGCTCAAGGCCTGCCTGAACAACATAGGGAGACGCTGTCTCAAAAAGAC